AGGACTCGTCCAAGCAGTCACTGCAGAGTTGGTAACGACTGAGTGCAGATTAAAAAAAAAATAAAAAAAAATAAATGGACACTGAATCCAGATAAGATGGAGGTGTCCCTTGTGAACAACTTCAAAGTTGTGGTAGATCTGACTGTTCTGAATGGGCTTGAAGGAGGAGGTATGCATTTTTTAAGTATTTCTGGATCCAGATCAGTCTCTCTCTGATTTCCTAGATTAAAGAAATGGCCAGGAACACCTTTGATCACCTTTGCTGGTATGTCAACAGCATTCCTTTCTGAAAAAGAATGACGTTAAAGCTATGATGCGCATGCTGGTATGTGCCAGGCTAGAGCTCTACATGGGGCTATGTTTGACTCTTACCTGGGAACTTCAGTTGATACAAAACCTAGCAGCCAGGTTGGTTTCAGGAAGGATGCAAAGAGGCCATACGATGCCTGTGCTTACAGCCTGCATTGGCTGCCAACTGGCTGGTAAATATAACATACTGGTCATTATCTTTAAGCCCTCTACTGCTTAGGTTCAGGTTATTGAAGAAAAGATATGAACTTCCATGCTTACTGAGAGTATCTGTGGACCTACAGTTATGGTTACCTGGAGCTCATCTGACAATGCCTGGAGATCAGTCTTTCCTGCTGCCATCCAAGCTCACCCAAGTGGCACAGTATTTTCATTAGCTTTTAAAAAGGCCATTAAAAGGCAACTTTTCATACAGGGTTTTAACCCTGATTTTAACTCTTGATTTTAGTTCATTCTACTTTTTTTACTTGTTTGTTTTAATTGCACTTTTCACTGTCTTTTAAAATTGTGACTTTAAATTTGTTTTTTTTTTTGTTTTGTTTTGGTTAACCACTGAGATTTAGTAGTTGGTATTACGCCAAGTCAAACTGATCAGTAAAATCAAATCAGACAATTTAGCTTACTGTAGGGACTCTTGATTTCTCTAGATAATACAGGTGAAACTCGAAAAATTAGAATATCGTGCAAATGTTCATGTATGTAAGAAAGGCAACTCAAAAGGTGAAACCAATATAAGAGATAGATGCATTACATGCAAAGCGAGTGTTAAAATCAGG